AAGTTTCTTGGAATAGACTGGGTTAGAGGTGATGGAAGACTGAACCAGGCTTTGTGAGTGGAGAGAAGGGGACTCTAGGACCAGTGTTGTGAAGGTAAAAACAAGATTTGACAATGATTGGCTATGTAGGGTGAACGTGAGGAGTAGAGAGTATGACACTGAGTTTCTGAGTCTGTGTTGCTGGAGGTGGTGTCCTCAGCAGTAATAGGGAAGATTGGAGTGAAAGAAGGTTTGAGGGGGTGGCTAGAGAGTGGGAAAATCCAAAAGAGAATATTGTCATGGAAACCTAGAGAGGATAGAATATTTAGGAGACAAATTGATAGATCAGTAGGTTCAGATGCTGAAGGAAGGGTCAAGAAGGATAAAGATAGAAGTCCATTAGGTACTGCAATTAAGAGATCATTGCAAAATGATAATACAAATTTTTTATACAAATAAAATCAGATTTTAAAAATTGGAGAAATATTACTTGTTTGTCGGCAGGCAGGGCCAATATAATAAAAATGGCAGTTTACCTAATTTATATATTTAATGTCATCCCAATTAAATTATCAAAAAACTTTTTCTGAGTTAGAGAAAACAATAACAGAATTCATTTGGAAGAACAAAAGGTCAGGAATATCAAAGGAACTAATGAAAAAAAAGTAAAGTAAGGAAGTTTATCAGTACTAGGTCTTAAACTATATTATAAAGCAATAATTATCAAAACTTTCTGGTATTGGCTAAGAGATAGAAAGGTAGATCAGTGGAACATAGTAGACATATAATTTATAGCAGCAAATGACTCTAGTAACCTTGTGTTTGACAAGTGTAAAGACTTAAGTTTTGGGGATAAGAATTCATTATTTGGTAAAAATTGGTGGGAAAGCTGGAAAGCAGTCTGGCAGGAATTGGGCATAGACCAACATCTTACACCATTTACCAAGATAAGGTCAAAATAGATACATGACCTCTAGATATAAAGATAGAGATTATAAGAAAATTGAAGATCATAGAACATATTACCTATTAGACTTTTGAGGCAAACAATTTATGAATAAACAAGTGATTAGAGAGCAGTGTGAGGTATAAAATGGTTAATTTCAGTTAAATTAAAAAAGGTTTTGTACAAATAAATGTAGCCAAGACCAAAAGGAAGGCAGAAAATTGGGAAAACATTTTTATAGTTTCTCAGATAAAGGTCTCATATCTTAAATATATAAAGAACTTTGTCATATGTATAAAAGTGAGTCATTCCCCAATTGATAAGTGGTCAAAGGATATGAACACGCAGTTTTCCAGTGAAGAAATCAAAACAATTATAGTCCTTCGAAAAAATGCTCTAAATAATTATTGATTAGAGAAATGCAAATTAAAACAATCTTGAGATATCATTTTTTACCTATCATATTGGCTAAGATGATTGAAGGGGAAAGCAAGAAATGTTGGAGGGGATATGGAAAAATTGGGACAGTAATTCTCACTGTTGGTGGAACTATGAACTGAACTAATTATTTTGGAGAGCAAGCTGAAATTATGCCCAAAGAGTTATTAAACAGTCTATATATACTTTGATCCAGCAATGCCACTACTAGGTCTGTTTCCAAAGTTGATTAGGGAAAAGGAAAAAGAACCTATATGTTGTAAAATATTCATAACAGCTCTCTTTGTGGTGGTGAAGAACTGGAAATTGTGAGGATGCCTGTCACTTAGGGAATGGCTGAATAAGTTGTGGTATGTGATTGTGATGGAATACTACTGTGCTACAAGAAATGATGGGCTTGGTGACTTTAGAAAAACATGGATAGGGGCAGCTAGATGGTGAAGTGGATAGAGCCCCGGCCCTGAAGTCAGGAGGACCTGAGTTCAAATGTGGCCTCAGACCAACCACTTGACACTTACTAGCTGTGTGACCCTGGGTAAGTCACTTAACCCCAATTGGCCTTTAAAAAAAAAAAGAAAAAGAAAAACATGGATAGACTTGCACAAAATAATGAAGAGTGAAATGAGCAGAACCAAGAGAACTTTGTATACAGTACAGTAACAGCAATATTGTTTTAAGAACAACTTTGAGTGAATAAGTTATTTTGACTATTACAAATACTCAAATTAACTTTGTAGTTCATATGAACCTATGAAGTTAATATGGACCTATGAAGGAAGACACTATCTGTATCCAGAGAAAAAACTGATAAAAAGAAGTATGCGTAGAATGATTTTACATATATATACACATTTGTGTCTAATGGTAGTTGTTTCTACGGTGGGGGGCAGGGAGGGAAGGAAAAAAGAGGGAAAAGTTACATGATAAATTTATTATATATATTTAAGAGGAATAGCAAATTGTACATAGTAGATTTACAGTTTCATGTGCAAGCATCTTTTTTTCTATTATGGAAAAGCTTGTTTTTTTCTTAAATTGAGAATTAAAAAAAGATCATTGCTAGCTTTGGTTAAGGTAGTTTCAGTTTAGTGATGAGGTCAGATACCAAATTGCAAGGGGTTTAGAAGAGAGAATTTAGGAAAAATTCTGAACAAATATCAAATAAAAGAATATTTCCATGTACATAGTAGAACAGAAAAAAGAAGATTGTGTATGAAACTGTGGGTCTCTACTATATACAGCTTGCTTTTCTTTTTACATATATCACAAGTTCAGCATGTAACTTTCAAAGCAGTGTTTCTTGTTTGTGGGGCTTTTTTTTCTGGCCTTTTCTTCTGTTTATTTAAAGAATGCTTTAGTTCTTTCTTTTTCTTTTTTTGACTGCCTTATTTCCACCTGTCTCTTTTCCAACCTTAAATTGGGGGGGAGGGGAGGAAAGAAAAACAAAATCCTTTTAATAAATATGCATAATCAAATAAAACTGATTGCTGCACTGGCTGCATCTGAAAATGCATGTTCCGTTCTGTATTTTGAGTCTTATCATCTCTCTGTCATGAGGTGGGTAGTGTGTTTTAGTAACTCTGCAGTTGTGGTAGAATATTGCATTGATCAGAGTTCTTAAATCTTTCAAAAGTTGTTTTTCTTTACATTTTTGTTATTGTATAAATTGTTTTTTTTTAATTCTGTTCCACTTCATTCTGCAATAATTCATATAAGTTTTCCCAGGATTCTCTGAAGTAGTTCCTTTAGTATAATGCTATTGTATTACATTTGTATGCCATGGTTTGTCCAGCCATTTCACAATTGATGGGTATTCACCTAGTTTCCATTTCTTTGCTGTGCTACAACACAAACTGCTATAAAAACATTTGATGTGTTAATTTTTCCTCTTTGATCTTTTTGGGGTGAGGTTTAGGCCTAGTAGTGATATTACAAGGGTCAAAAGGCACTCACAGTTTAGTGGGTTTTTTTGTCATGGCTTGCATTGCTTTTTAGAGTGTCTAGATCAATTCACAGCTCCATCAACATCCATGCCTTAGTATGCATGTTTTCCCTGCAGTGCCTCCAACAATTGTCAATTGCTTTTTTGTCTTCTTTGCTGAACTGATGGATATGAGGTAGAACCTCAGAATACGTTTCTCTAATAGTGATTCATATTCTTTGACCACATATGCTCAATTATACCCTAGTTGATTTGCTGGACATTCCGAATATTTAATTGTAAAGAGAGTGTAAGGGTCTTTTCACTGACCCAATTACAGAAAAAGTGGTAGTGAGGTGTTAAATAATAATGCTGATAATAATAACTAATGCTTACTATGTGCCAGGCACTGCTAAGTACCTTACAAATATTATCTCATTTGATCCTCACAACAACCCTGGGAGGTAGGTGCTAATATTTTCCCCATTTTACAGTTAAGGAAACTGAGGCAAACAAAAGTTAAGTGACTTGTCCAGGGTCATACAGCTAGTAAGTGTCGATGCTGGATTAGAACTCAGGTCTTACTGACTCCATGCCTGGCCTTTCCATTCATTGTGCCAGCTAGCTGCCTTCTCTGCTGTTAGTTCTTGGGTTGTTTACCTCATTAGGGTTCTTGGCATCTTAGGTTGTTGAGACAGTTGCACTTGCTTTACCTCTTATGCATAATTCTTATTTTGTGGTGGTTTGAGAGGTGTAAGGATTGGATTTCTCCAATTCTATGTCTAGTCCTCTATCTTGTTGATCGTGTGACTTGGACTGTTACTTTAATGACTTTATAGCCTTTGAAAACTTTATTCTTTAGCTATTTTCATACTTGTTCTTGATGGAAATTTTTGAGGAGCTTGGGACTTGAGTCATACTTGTTGCATTAAATTGATTCTTTGGTTCATGGTCTGTGTTACAGACTGTCCGTCCTGGAGTCTTTCCCACCCCTTTGCCCTAGCTGAAGGAAATGATGGGTGACAGTAATAGGATCCTTATGTATGATTTAGTGGCCCCTATTTCTGTTTGAAGTAGATACCACTTCCATATACAATGCTAACCTTCCAATTGTCATCTGAACACCAGAGGAAATCTCATTGTTCTGTAATTTTGCCTATAAATGGACCTAGTTCCTAATTTTTTCAATCATGTAGTTTGGGTATAGAAGTCCCATGATAAGGTGACAAGAGTATAAAAAAGGAGCTTACATTCTAATGGGGGAGAACATGAAGAAATAGAAGTATATAGTAAACATACACATATATGTATGTACAGACTAAGTATAGAGTAAATGCAAATAGATGAAAAGATAGTTTGAAAGAGACTCCCAGATCTCATTAATCTAGCCTTGGTCTCTCCCCTGAATTTTAATCCCATATTGCCAGTTATCTATTAAGATATTTCAGACTTGATATCCAGTATGTATCTTAAACACAAAAAGTCCAGACTTAAACTCATTGTCTTTTCCCATCAAAATCACCCTTCTCCCAAACCTCTCATTTCTTTTTTTTTTCCCCTCTGAGTTCATGTTTTATTTCAAGAATTGTAGATCACATGCTAAGTTGACAGGAGGTCCTTCAGCGAGGGAACTTGATGATGGACAAAGTGTACACACACACACACACACACACACACACACACACACACACACACACACACGCACACGCAGGACTCCATTTATGTTGCTTTCACTGCTGGAGTTTTTTAGACCTTGCCTTGAAGTAAAGTATGAGCAAAGCACTTCCTCCATAAGTGGCCAGTACATAATTCTTTCTCCCATTAAGGGTATATGAATTGAAGTATTTCTTTTTTTTTAATGTACCTTTTTTTAATTTAAATTTTTTTTATTTTCTCCATATGCTTTTGAGTTGAAAATTTTTCTCCCTTCCCCCCCCCAAGATGGTGCACAATCTGATATAGGCTTTACATTTACATACCCATTAAACATATTTTCACATTAGTGAAGTTGTAAGTAAAAATTAAAACCAATACGAGGAACCATCAGAAAGATGAAACAAAACTCAACAGAAGGTAAAAATAAGTGATAGTGATTTGACTTCCATAGTTCTTTCTTTGAATGTAAACAGCATTATCCATCCCGAGGCCTCTGGAAATGTCTTAGATCCAGTCATAATGCTGAGAAAGGTTCAGTTTAACAATCTTAATCTTAGTCATTGCATAACGTGGCTGTTATTGTGTACAAAGTCCTCTTGGTTCTGCTCACTTCACTCAGCATCAGACCATATACGTCTTTCCAGGTTTTTCTGAAGTCATCCTGTTCATCATTTCTTACAGGACAATAGTATTCCATTACATTCATATACCACAACTTGCTCAGCCATTCCCCAATTGATGGGCATCCTCTAATTGAAGTATTTCTTAAAACCAGTGAACTGATACTGACTATCAGATTCTGGACCTGCCATAATTGAAATCTCGATGGCCAAAGCCACTGCTGCTGCTGCCCTTCACTGTCCGCTCTTCTCTTAATTCTTTTGAAGATATTACCTTTCTTCTAGTCTTCCATGTTGGTAACTACCCCTCCCCCAAACCAAGCAATTTCCAAATCTTGTAATTTCTATTTCCAAAACATTTCTTGTATGTGACTCCTCTGCTTACACAATTACCACCTTATTGAAGGCTTTAGTTTTGGTCCTCATCACCTAGGTTATTGCCAATAGCTTTCTTATTGTTCTCAGTATTTGTTACAAGTCTCTCCTTGCTCCCAATCCATCTTTCACATAGTGGAAGTGCCAAAGTGATTTTCTTTAAGATCTGACATTGTGGCTCCTCTAGTCCAGTGGCTTCTTATTGCTCCTAGAATAAATTATAAGTTCCCATTAACTTTGAAAGCCTTTTACGGCCTTGCCTCTATTTCCATCATTATGTTATATTACTCTTTCAGGACTATGCAGTTCAGCCAGACTAGCTTCACACACACACACACACACACACACACACACACACACACACGCACGCGCGCGCTTTTTCATTCATTCATTTCCCTTCCCCTCCCCCTTCCCATTGATTGTCCCCATATCTGTAATGACATCCCTTTTCACAGAGTCTCTTTCTGACTGAAATTGTAGCACGAAAGCACCACCTTCTGTGTCAGTGTTAGCCTATAGTCTATGAATTTTTAAAAATTGACAATTTCAGTATGATTGTTTTCCTTTGTAATCATTGTATGTTATCTTATGCCTGTAAAAACATTATTCAGAGATAGGATCCATAGGCTTCACCACACTGCCAAAAATGGAGTTCATGATGCAAAAAAAGTTAAGAACCCATTCTGTTCTACATGAAGTCTTTCTATGTTACCTGAATTCCAAGTGTCCTCCCTCTTAGCCTACCTTATCTTTAACTACTTTGTATTTGTTCTCTTTAGTGTGTGTTTGTGTGTGTGTGTGTGTGTGTGTGTGTGTGTGTGTGTGTGTGTGTGAGAGAGAGAAGAGAGAGAGAGAGAGAGAGAGAGAGAGAATGAGCATCTGTCTCATTTTTTCCAAATTAGAATGTAAACCTCTTTCTAGTAGTGCTTGTTTCATTTCTTATACTTGTACCCTTAGCGCCTTGCAAAGTGCTGGTCACATAGTAAGCACTTAATAAATTTTGCTGAGTGACGGAATTTGATTTGGAAGGGCCCTCATAGAAGCCATCTAGTCTCACTTTTTCTTTTTTTAGAAAAATTGGGAATTGAGTGTTACAGGGGTTAACTCCTGTATTTGCTGAAGTGGTGATGGATAGGAAAACTTTTCGGAGGCTATTCTTAATTTTGTGTTATACTTGCCCTGTGGTTAGAATAACACCTTTCTATTAGACTAGCTAGCTAATCAAGAATAGTGTAGCCTATATCCTTTTTGACTCAGAAGACCAGATTTGAAACATGTTGATTTAGAGCATGTGGTAGTGCTTCTTGATTAATTGCTAACGTTTTTGGATTTTTTTTCTGCTGCTGGTCTTTTGCCTTATGTCAAAGTGCTTTCTTGGTATTTACTAGACACACTTGAGAAAGCAGTGAAAGTATCTTTTCTCTCGAGCAATTCTTTCTCATCTCTGAAGGAATAAAGAGGAGGGGGTTAGAGGAGGGGTAGGAGAGGTTGAAAAACTCTGTTCAGTGTATGTTTAGTCTATTTACTGGAAAGGAATGTAAAATACTTTTATGGGGAAGTCTTTCTCAGTATTAGTATACTCTGAAAAAGAAAGCAAGCTTCCCATTAGTCTTTGGTTTCCGTGATCTGCTCTGAGTGGGCCTGACGACTTCTATACTCTCTTAATAGGTAACTGACCCCAGTGCTTATGACCTGATAACTGATAGGTTAAAAATGAGTAATGTTGAGTCAGTTGGAAGACTGTGGAGCAGCCAGGAAAGACTATACCAGATGTTTTGTTTTTAAGGAGAAAGGTTTTAGTTGAATAAGAGGTTGTCTTTTTTTTTTTAATGAAATTACTTTTTCCTTTTCAACCTGTCAGTACATGCTACAAAAGTAAAGATTCAGTTAACTGTCCATTTTGTCATTATTATTGTTCACAAGCAGATTTACCAGTGTTTTTACAGCTAGTTTTCTATTCTAGCTCAGATTATAAAAGTGATTTTGACATATTCTGTATGTTCTAATGGAGAAAAGAGGAACAAGGGGGTGGAATTTGGCATATCTCAATAATGGAGTATGTAAGAAGAGTGTACAAAGTGTGTGTGTGTGTGTGTGTGTGTGTGTGTGTGTGTGTGTTGGGGGGAGAGGGCAGGGCATCTGATGAACCTTATTCTCATCTGAAATGGACGAAGGATGGTTGAATATATGTACATAATACATTTACACAGTTTTATGTAGAAATGTACTAAACTTATGGAGAATAAACAGCCATAAGCAAAACAAGTTTTCTCATTCTAAAGGAGATAAGAGAAAGAAAAGAACTAAAATCTAAGGAGATTTCTTAGATTTCTTTTTAGACAATTGAGGAATAGCTGAACAAATTGTTATATGAATATAAAAGAATATTGTTGTGCTGTAAGAAATGGTGAAAGAGATAATTTCTGAGAATCCTGGATAATATGAATTGACAGAGTGAAATGAGCAGAACCCAGAGAACAATTTACACAAAGACATCGGTTTTATAAAGAAAAATAACGTTGAAAGACTTAAGAATTTGATTGGTGCAGTGAGTTACCATGCTTACCATGTCTCCAGAGGACATGTATGATGAAGTATGTTTTATCTACCTCCTAGCAGAGGTGAGATGGACATAAAATGCAAAGAAGAAACATACATCTTCAGACATGACCATTGTGGCTGTGTTTGTTGGACTATGCTTATTTGTTGCAATTTTTTTTCCTTCCTTTCTCTTAATTTTTAATTGGAAGGGGTTGGAGAGAATAAGGCGGTTAGCAATATGGAGGTCATTGAAACATTTTTTTAAAAATGCACAGAAGTTCCGAAGGGGGTCAGACAAGCAGGAAATTTTGGAAATTAACTTGAAATTCTTTATATTCTTTAAAAAAAAAACAAGAATGTGATATGAAATGATTTTTTTTTTATAGAATCCTTTCTGGGTTCTGCTCATGAAATTCTCTCTTAATTTAGAATTTTTAAAAACCAGGTAGAACAATTTAAATCGTCAATAGAGGCCCTCTGGCTTTTGAGTGACACCATCAGATCAGCTTACAGAAAATCACTTTGGCAGCCCTTGTTAGGATGGATTGGAATAGGGAGAGACTTGAGGCAAGTGTAATCTAGGTGACAGTCAATGAGGGCCTGAACTATGGTAGTACCTTTGTGATTAGAGGGAGGTTTGGAGGAGAGAGGAGGGAGATTTGGCAACTGATTGGCTATGTGGACTAAATAAAGGAGACTGAGTTAAGGGTAACACTGAGATTTTGAACAATAGGGGACTAGAGGAATGATTTCTTTGAAAGAAATAGCAAGATGGGTTGGAAATAGGAGTTTTATTTTGGACGTGTTGAGTTTGAGGCCGCTATGAGACATCTAATTTGAATTGTTCAGTAGGCATTTGGCAATGTAAGACTGAAGCTCTGCATGCTAGTGTTGGAGCTGTTGAGTCGTCTGCGTAGAAATGATAATTGATCTATGGGAATTGATGAGACCACCGAGAGAATAGAAGAGGTTCCAGGTGGGTCCTTGGGCAACAGCCACAAGAGGCCTAGCAAAGGAACACGAGGAGCAATCAGATAAGAGGAGAGCAAGCGCAGAGTAATGGTATGAAAATCCAGAGAGGAGGAAATATCCAGAAAGGTGGTTACAAAGGATGGGAACTGAAAAGAAACCATCAGATTTAGCAATTAAGAGATTGCTAGTAATTTTGGAGATTTGTTTTAGTTGACTGATGAGGTGAGAAGCTGGATTTCAAGGAGTGGAGCGATGAATATGAAGAGTAGAAGTGGAGACAAGTAATGCACAGCTTTTCCTTGGAATTTGACAGCAGAGAGAGGGAAAGATATGGATAGTAACTTATGGGAGAGGTAGGGTCTAATGAAGATTCATTTTTTGTTGTTTTAAAATATGGGAGCAATGTGGTTATGTCTGAAGGCATCAGGGAAGGAACCAGTAAGTAGATAGGGAGAGGCTAAAGATTAGATAGAGAGGAGGAATAGGGGTTTCAGAAGCAGATGGGAAAAAGGCTAGGCTAGGAAAAAGACAGGAGGGGGTCAGAATCAAGGATACATGTAAGCTTTCCCCTCACCTCTTTCCTTTTACTGTAGAGGGTAATACCAGAGTCCTTGTCCCTCAGACTTCCAGCCTAGATGTCATCCTCATCTCCTTACTCTCTCTTATTCCTCTTCCCCCGTCTGCAATTTGTTGCCAAGGCCTGTCAGTTTTGCCTTTGCAGCATCTCTCCAGTATGACCCCCTTCTCTGTCACGCTGCTGCTGTTCTAGGGCAAGCCCTCATCACCTCACATCAAGACTATTGGAATACCTGCTTATGGGTCTGCCTGCCTCAAGTCTCTCCCTGTTCCAATCCATCCTCCATTTAGTCACCAAAGTGATTTTCCTAAAGTGCAAGTCTGACCAGTGCACTCTCCTGCTTAAACTCCAGCAGTTCTCTGTTTCCTTCAGGATCAAATATGAAATCCTCTTTGGTGTTCAAAGTTCTTCATACTCTTTGATCAGTGACCCTGGCCTCCTTGGTGTTTGATGAACAAGACACTCTACCTCTTAGCTCTGGGTATTTTTTCTGGCTGCCCCTCATGCCTAGGATGCTTTTCCTTCTTACCTATGCCTATTGGCTTCCCTGGCTTCCTTTTAGAACTAACTGAAATCTCATCTATAGGAAGTCTTTCCCAACACCTCTTAATTCTAATGCCTTCCCTCTGTCAACTATTTCCTACTCATCCTATATATAGCTTGTTAATACACATTTGTATTACGCATTAGATTTGTAATACACATCAGATTGTGAGCTCCTTTAGGGCAAGGACTGTCTTTTGCTTCTTTAGTGCTTAGCACAATTCCTGACACATAGTAGGTGCTTAATAAATGGTGTGGGGTTTTTTGGGGGTTTTTTTGGCTAGGCAGTGGGGTTAAGTGACTTGCCCAGGGTCACACAGCTAGTAAGTGTTATGTGTCTGAGGCTGGATTTGAACTCAGGTCCTCCTGACTCCAGGGCCAGTGCTCTATCTACTGCACCACCCAGCTGCCCGTTTAATAAATGTTTATTGACTGACACATATAGGATTTGGTCTTGATGAAGAAAAAGTCCACCTGATTATCAAAGACTGGATGAAAGGAGAGAATAGGGAATGATGCCAAGGGATTTTGAGATGAAGAGAAGGGGAGAAGAGGAGGATCATGATGATGAATGGCTTCAGTTTTCTCAGTAAAGTAAGTGGAGAGGTCCTTAGTTGAGGAGATCTGGGGAATGAGAGGTATCTGGTTTGAGAAATGAAGGGTCTGAATAGTTTCTGTGTGGAGTGACAGGAAATGTATTAGGGAGGAATAAAAGGATTGCCTTGCTATAATGAGGGCGCTGTTAAGGTCAGATGACATATATTTGTAGTATACCCAATTAACTGAGTTGTGTGACTTTCTCCAGCTTTGTTTAGCTACAAGACCAGGAGTAGAGGAGGCAGGTGGTGAGCAATAATCTAGGGTTGGGGTTTGGCAAGGAATGAGAGGTGATATGACCAGAGGGTACATGTGGTTGGGCCTGCACTTGCTTTGTGTGACTAGCAAGTAGGGCCCTAGGGGCAGTTGGTGAGGAGGCCAGGCTAGGCTGCTATGCACGCCTACTGCTGAAGGTGGTAATCAGCACATCTCAAGCCTCTTTCCTTTTTTCCATTTCACAATCTTATCCTTATATGTGTGATTCTAGGCAAGTCATTTAATCTGCCTGCTTTAGTTTCCTCACAATAATATCTACCTCCCAGGGTTGTTGTGAGGAACAAATGAGATAGTATTTGTAAAAAAAAAAAAAACCACAACACAGTGCCTGGCACACATAGTCTTTTAAAAAAACAAACAAACAAAAAACCAACTCTTCTATTCATTTAGGATTCTTTCTCTGTGTCTTCAAATTTTAATTCTTGAGAGGGCCCCATCCCTCCTGGGGTGACTTTTCCCTTACAGACTTTTGGATCTTTCCTACGTATCTATTCTTTTGTTCTCCTAAAAAGTCTAGAGGGATGTGTTAGATAGTACTTGACTTTTCTTTCCTTTTTAATCATCTTTTAAGATGGAGTGGTTGCCTTTCCCCAGAGTTTGCATTCTTTGTATTTCATCAGCCAATTCTTCCTTGTTCAGAATCAGGTCTAAAATAGCAGTTCCTGTTATCCTCCAATTTTTGAATAATGATGAAGTTACATTCCCGTTGAGGCTGCAGTAGCTAGAGTGCTGGAACTGAGAATTAGGAAGACTCGAGTTTGAATTCTGTCCTGTATGCTTACTGTGTGAGTACTGGGCAAGTCATTTAAAATCTCTCCTAGCCTCAATTTCCTTAGGTGTAAAATGGAAATGATAATAGCACTTACTTCACAGAGTTGTGGTAAGGATCAGATGTGAACATATACAGTGCTTTCTAAACCTGAAAGCCCTATAGAAATGCTTGCCATTATGATAAAAAGAATAAGATAGGGATTTATTAGTCATTAGCTTCTGACAGACCATGTTTAAGCAGATGTCTAGAGAATTGAGTTCCTGCATCAATGATAATCATAGCTAACATTTATATAGTACTTTACGTTTTACAAAAAGCACTTATATCATCTCATTTAATCATCATACATCCATGCCAGTTTGTGTGGTGTTTCCTGAACCCCCCACTCTTTTTTCTGTTGCAGTGTTTCTACTATTTCTTCCTTCACTGGTCTTGATTCAAAAATTATTTGTTCTCCTTTCCCCCTTTTGCTTCTTGTATTTTCTCGTGAGTGTGTTATCTTCATAGATAGTACTGCTCTGCTCTCATTTCCCTTCCTTTATCTTGTCCCATTTCAGTAAGGCACACTCATTTTGACCTATGTTTCAGTTATGATTTCCTCTAAGTCTAAGCGATTCCTATGACGCAAAGTTTCTCTCCTTTAGTTAGGATACCTGGTTTGCCCTGTCTGTTTAGCACACTTTGTGTATTTGTGTGCAGACGTTCTGAGGTCGCAGGTTTTTGTTACTGCCTTTTCTTCTTGAATTTTTGTTCCTTGTAATGTTGGGCATCTCTACTGCCGTTTTTCTTCAAATGTTGTGATTGCTGTTTCACGTGGTATTTATCTTGGTAAATGTTTATAGGCAGTTTTTCCCCTTAGGGTTATTTTGGTTGACCTTTTGGAATAAGGCTTAGTGCCTTGTGACCTTTCTAGCCCATGAAATTGAAACCTCATGGGTCTGGCCTTCTGGGATGCTTCTCATGTGTGATAACTTAAGAGTGCAGGGTTCCATTTATTATTGCTGTTTTTTTATTCGTTGGGTACCTGATGTCAGATTCTGAAAACAAAGAGTAAAAGCAATTCCTTTCCCACCTCATGTCTAATTTTCCCCTGCTTGCAGGTACAAAGATGCCCTGGTCCTTTTGCTTACTGAGGTATTGAATCGGATACAGTTCAGGTACAACCAGGCGCAGTTGGAGGAGTTGGATGACGAGACCCTCGATGATGATGTAAGAAATATATTGTAGAACACTTTTTGATTATTAAATTTTCAACATAACATAATTAATTTAAGTCAGTAATAGGAATCTGCAAATCTTTTGTTTCTAAAAGTTGAATTTTTTAGCATGGGTAGAGTATTAATTTTTAAGCTTTTTTAAAAATCAATTCCTAGTCCACTTTTAATTTGGTTTTACAAGCATTTTCAGCCATCTACTTGTACCATGAGTGGGAGTAGAGAAGCATTATTTTTGAGAAATGTTGGGTTATGTGGGAAATCTTAGTGAATCTAATTTATGCCCTTTACTGCTACAAATTGTAATCCAGACATGTCTCATTTTCCTGTGCAGTTCTTGTCTGTATCCTTTTATAAACCCTCCAAAGAGTATTTATTCAATGCTGGTGCAGTTTCTCTATTTTGTGGCTATTAATGCCATATTTGCTCTTTCTCTACCTCCTCTTCTGGTTATACATGTACTTTAATGATGCCTTTTCTACTATATCGTCTCTGGAAATGTGCTGCATTATGTTTTCATTCACTGTGACCCATTGAGTTCTCTGTGTTTTTTTCTTCTGTGATTTTGATGTTCCATGGTTGAGCACCATATAGAAACACTAGGAGAATACTAATGTTAAAAAGATTGGTGTATTGGGGGATGAAGAGCAGCTTGGGATCGTTGAAAAGCATCACCTAGTTTCCTAAATGCCAATTCAACTAACTCTTGCTTCCTGTCTTGTTCTGGGTTGTCCATCAGTAGCTTGTCTCCAAGATAAATATGTATTTTTGATGGCTTATTTGCACGTCATAATCAGATGAAGATGCATTTTTATCCACTTGGTTTTTCCTGTGTGGATGATACATTTTATGTCCAAATGATGATTGAAAGTATGCTTCAATCTACTTCTGACACTTAAATACTGGACCATTCTCTTTTGTGACACTATGGAGCTCATTGTGGAGTATTTGAAGTATGCTGTGGCTAAATATAGTTGGCAAATGCTCTCTACAGATAGTCAATCCCAGGACCCTGAGTCCTGCAGGGAAATCCTCTTCCGTTTGGCCTTTGCATTGGGCATCCTCTTCCAGGATGTTGGTAAATACCTTTGATGAGCATATGCCTCCTTGTGTTAAACCTCACTTAATAATGATAATCAGAGGATTGTTGGAGAAAGTTATTCTCTGGTTTCTTCTATTGAGGAATACTGTATCAACTTAATATATGGGAGATACCATGCTGAAAGAAACCTTTTAGGCTGCAGTTTTGTTCTGTTGAACCAAAAGTGTTTTTTGGTGATGACCAGACATCGAGGGATAAACACTGAAGGATCTTGTAGTCTTTATGTTTCTGAGTTGCATAACTAGGATGATCTGGTCTTCTCTAGAAAATTACATGCAAAAGCCTACTTGTTCCTTTTCATATTTTTATCGAGGATGCCTTCATATTTTGGTTAGTGTTTAACTGCTCTTTCCAACATCTAAATTGCCATTTCTGTTTCCTTACATATTCAGTGCTGAAATGATAGAATCTAGATGTTGTAATTCCATTGTAATTGATAAGGATAGGTTGCCGTACAAACCCTGATATGTCTGTTCTGTTTAATGTCTTTGATATCTGTCCAGTTTCCTTCTTAAATAAATACTTCTTGCAAAACTGGTATTTGGAGAACCTTGGGAGAAGGGAGTGAAAAGAGAAGTTGGGGGAAGAGACTGGTATAAGAATTAATTAGCGAGGGCAGCTAGGTGGCCCAGCAGATAGAGCACTGGCCCTGGAGTCAGGAGGACCTGAGTTCTAATCCGGCCTCAGATACTTGACACTTGATACCTGTGTGACCCTGGGCAAGTTACTTAACTCCATTGCCTAGGCCCCCCCCCCAAAAAAAAAAGAATTAATTAGCCACCTGCTTTTAGTATTTCTAATTATTTTAAACTACCTTTGAAGTTTGAGTGCTGCTAGATTGGACCCTCTTGGCATCACATTTTTAGCCCCAGAATGAAAGTAGTTGTAGTTTCTTTGTACCCCTATAAAAAAGTCTTGGTGTTTTAACTGTGTGACCTTGAGAAAGTCACAACTTATAAAAGCCCTTTACAAAAAAAATAAAAGGTATTTTATGCTTATTTGTAATTCTCATGTAATAGAACTACATATTAGAAAACAAAACAAGTATTTTGGGGTTATTCCAGGTCAAGTTAATAATATGTTATTGCTCTGGGGAAATAGTTAGAATTCTTAAATTTCATCTTTGGTTTTCTCTTATATCTCTGTGACTTTTTTTTTTAAAGGACCAGGTAACATTACATGTGATTTTTCATTTCTGATTTAGATTTTGTCTGGTCATAAACTTCATTCTTTGGACACACACCGAAAGAACAAATACTTCTAGATACTCATCAGTTTTGGAGAATTCATTCCTGTATTTCTTTTTACAGCAACAAACAGAGTGGCAGCGGTACTTACGCCAGAGCTTGGAAGTTGTGGCCAAAGTCATGGAGCTCCTTCCCAGTCATGCATTCTCTACACTGGTAACTAACCGTCTGGGGAAAAATTAGTAGTGACCTTTTTCTCCTTCACTTTGGCAGCATGGCAAAGAGGACCAGGAACCCAGAACTGAGGCTTGAGCCCTGGCTCTGAAACTGGCTGACTGCTGCATCTTGTAGCAGGTCTTTTTACCACTTTGGGCTGAGTTTCCATATCTCTAAAAAGGAAGGACCTGGGCTTCATAGCTCTTTCTGATTCTATAATGGTCTGTTTAATTTAACAACATAGGTAATAAATTGAGGAAGGCTTTACTCCTATATACATAGATTTCAGCTTTTATAAACACATTTTCTTTTGTAGCGTCTTGGACTGAGGGTGTGTTTTACTGTCCTCCTAATTATATCATGTAGAGGAAAAAGTTAACTGTAATTCCCATCCTTTACAGAAATTGGTTGTGGAGCATTACAAGCCTGGTGTGATCCTTTATGCGTATTTTGATTTCTTGGGATCTTTAATCACATGGCCTAATTTAGTTGCTTTTGAAAGCATGGTTGTATGAAGAGATCATATTAGGTCCACATCATCTTCTAAAGAAAAGAAACAGAATAAAAATATGATGTAGTCAGCTTTTGTGTTACCTATTCAGCTATGTAGTCTCTTGTATTCCTTTCCCTGGGGAATGTTGTTTTACTTTGTCTTCTGCTTTTTTTTGGTTTCTATCACATTAAAGTCTCTTTTTTCCTCTTAATATAATTGATTAGTAAAGCAGCTTATGAAATGAAAGGTAGGCTCACCTACGGGTGCTGACAAAGTCAGCAAGAGAAATGGACTTATCTCTTTTCACTTTGCCAGGCTCATGGATAACATTTGTGTGTGTGTGTGTGTGTGTGTGTGTGTGTGTGTGTGTGTATTTATGTAAAATTTTTTTTTTTACCGAAAGGTTGACTGGGTCACCAAGTGATGATTTTACTTATTTTTGATGGGGAAGTTATGGTCTGAGGTGAACCTGTTACCAAAATACCAGAGAGATGCTGATAGCTTAATCAAAATAGGTCTTGGCTTAGGATGTAACTTGACTGTCAAACCTTTTTTGTCTTCCTTGCTTTTTGTGAAATTGATGTAGTTGCTTTCCTTTATTTACTGAATGTTAATCCTCAAAGTAATTTCAGTGGTGGAAATCATTGGGGGAATTGAATTGAGAGATTTCTTTGACCCATATATATCTACAAATAACCAGGATTCATAGAGCAAATAATTTCTGTTTCTACTTTCCTAGCTTTATTACACATTATTCCCCTTTACAGATTGTAGGTTACAGCCCAACTTATCTTACGTAGTGTTGACACATGATGCTGCATCTCCTCTCGCTGTGTCATGACAGGCTGTCCTTTGTGGTTGGAATGCCCTCTTTCCTCTCATTAATGCCTCTCAGAATCCCTAGTTTCCTTCAAGATTCAGCTCAGGTGCCACTTTCTGAATGAAGCCTTTGTTAATCTCCCCAGCTTTAATTCCTTCCCTGCTAAAATTACCTTGAAATAACTTTTTATGTACCTGCATCTGCTTGTTGTTTCCCCCAGTTGGATGTTAGCTCTTTGAAAGAAGGGATTGTTTCACTTTGGTCTTTGTATCCCAGGCATGTCATAGTGCCTGGGATATAATAGGTGCTCAATAAATGCTTGTTGATTGATTCTATTTCCATACCTTGGTCATTGTATAATTTGATGTTAATGGGATTAAAACACATTTATGACTTTCACATTTGTTTCTTTGCTTTCAGTTCCCAGTTCTTCAGGACAATTTAGAAGTTTATCTGGGGTTACAGCAATTTGTAGTTACTTCAGGGTCAGGTAAACCTGTTTTCATTTTCTAATATAAGCAGTTATTTTAAAAAGAAGGACTGATACTTCTCTAATTAATGATTCTGTTGCTATCATAATGTTCCCCCATAACCCCTAATCCCTTTAAGTAAACTTTAAAAAAAAATTGTAATACCAGGCATTTTGGGAGAGAAGAGATAAAAGATGAGGTGACAACAATGTATTTCAAAGGGATGTACTTTAGTGAATGAAGAAAAGAGGGCCAGTTTAGGGCAGTGACAGAACTTATTAAAATACTGATGGCATTCTGCTCAATTTTTGGCCTAGACCTTATCTTTTAGGCTCCTACTGATTTGTGTGACCTTTTAAAATGTTTACATGATCATTTTTATTTAGAAATTAGAATATTTCTTTGTGCTGGAACACTTCTTTAAGTGAAGGTAGTAAGTGAAAAAAATTATCTTGGTCTTTAGCATGACATATTTCTTCTTTTCTAATATTTAGAACCAAAGTAATATGAGTTTAGGTACAGCAGATGAAATTCTGCAGGATGTAATTATTACACCTGCTGTGACTTAATAATTGTCCACCTTATTTTAAACTCTTCTTGGGAAGTCTCTGAATTTAGCCAGGCTAAATTGCTTTGGCTTATGACTTATCCAATTTCTTAATTTAGTAACTGTGTGTATTTTGGTTTAGTTTAGTATTAATAATTGCTCTTCCTTCTTTTTTTAATTCCCCCTCCACTCCCTGCCCCAACAACAATAAAATATTAATCATTGAGCTCTCAGCTTTATAATTCTGCTCAAACTTTAGTCATTCATGTTTTTTTCATGTCAAGCCTCTGCTCTCTTCTTCCCCCTTTAATACCATATCTTCAGGTTCTTTCTCAGGCTTCTTTAGGACTTGTAAATTTATACTTTAAAATAGAACAGTAATTAAAAATGTCAAATAAGTTAACTGCATTTAGCTTCATGAGCTAGTAGGGTGGTAAATGAAAAGTTGAATCCATCAAAATTCCAAATGAGATTTGTCCTTGTTTGGGGGGGGTTAGGGGTGAAGTGGAAGACTGTGGTACAGTGGAAAGAGACTGTATTTGGAGGCACTACCTGAGTTCAGAATCTTAGATTGGCAGTTTACTATTTGCTTGATTACTTGGGCCTTGACCTCTCTGGGTCTCAGTTTACTCATCTGTAAAAGGAGAGTGTTGTATTAGATAGGTGATCATTCCAACTCTCAATCTGTTTCTAATTCCTACCTCTTCTATTTGTTCATTCTTCTGTTCTTCATACAGTACAGGCTTTTCTAATAGAATTCCAGCTTAACCCTTAACCCTTTCTATCACAGTCATGTACAAGGTTCTGGCCTATGATTCCCTTCTTGCTGCGTGGTCAGCATTACCTAATTAGTCTTGTCATGACTGAAATAGAGGTATTGAGAGAAAGGAAAATAGTTCCTGCGAAACTTTTTGAATATAGCAAATCCTATTTAAGGAAGCTGACTGTTTTGGAATGTCTTTTGACTTAATGAACCATAATAACTTGTTTCTGTTATTATTGGAGCTTTTAAATAATCTGGCCAGCCCCAAGGATTCTAGTATGACTTTGGCAGACATCAAGTACAAAAAATGTTTTTTTAGGATACTGGGATGGGTAAATGCCTTTAAACAGATAATGGATGAGAATAAAGTTATTTGTATAGATTTTTAATAGAATACTTTCCAAGTCTCAAATTACTTCATGAAATCTTTCAATCTGTAATAAATTAATTTGACTTAAAACATAACATTAAATCTGCATTTCTCTGTCTAGAATGGTATCATTCATAGCCTGTATAAAATGTCAGATTACTCCTCAGAGATAAGTAGAATGAGTTTTTTTATGTCAGTTACTTTATTTGTCATACAACTCTTAAGTGCCTACCATGACGTGTGCATTGTGTTGGGTATCCAGGATCTAAGAGTTTAGCCTTGATCTCATAAGGTGATTTGTTTTTCTGCAGAATTTGTTAGCTTTTTTTCCCTGTTTATTTAATAAGTTGCATAGGAATTTGTGGGGAACTCTGTTGTTTTTAGGGATGCAGTGTGGAAAGAGTTCTAGACTGGGAATCAGGAGACCTGAGTTCTGGGACCTCATCTGTAAAGGGCAGGGAGTTCAACTAGGTGGTCTCTAAAGCCCCTTTCAGGTTTAGAAGTCTGTGAACTAATATCTCAGAATTATGCTTGTATTTATAGTGGAAAGAGTGCTGTACTTGGGGTCAACAGCTAGGTTCAAATTCTACTTCAGTAATTTTTACTGTGTGGCTTTGGGCAAGTCATTCTCCTCTTTCTAAGCAATTTTTTTGTTTTGTTTTGTTTTGTGAGGCAGTTGGGGTTAAGTGACTTGCCCAGGGTGACACGGCTAGTGAGTGTTAGGTGTCTGAGGCCGAATTTGAACTCGGGTCCTCCTGACTCCAGGGCTGGTACTCTATTTACTGTGCCACCTAGCTGCCCCTACTCTCCTCTTTCTAAACCTCAGTTTTGTCATCTATAGAAAGAAGGGTAAACGAAAACTTTCTGGGGTACACTTGAATTTTAAACTTATGATCTTGTGCTTTTAATCTAGTAATGTGTGGAATTATCAGCTCTTTGTATTTAGGGACCTTGTATTATTTCTTTATATCCCCTCATAGTGTTGCATACTTACCTATATGTTTGGTAAACACTTTCTTGAATAATGCTAGTACTAGTTAATTCACAGTTTGATTTTTAGGTGAGTTAAAAAAAGAATACAAAACTTGATTCAGTTGGAAACCAGTTCAGCTTCCTTAAATTGATTTTTTTTTTCCAAACTTCTGAATTTGAGTAAAAGCAACAGTAGTCTAGTTTAGACTAGTCATTCAGCAGGTTCCATGTTTTATCTCTGGGATGTATTTTGTCAATGGGCATTTTGTTGGAGGGGTTTTCCAAGTTGGCAAGGTGGTAGTGCCAGGATGGCGGAGTAGAGGCAAGGACCCACCTGAGCTCTCCTAAATTTCCCTCCAAACAACTCTAAATTAACTCCTCGAAACGAATCCTGGAGTTGCAGAACCAACAAAAACCTGGGGTGAAACAGTTTTCCAGCCTATGACAACTTAGAAGATTGGTAGGAAAGATCTTTCCCACCTGGGTGAGGGTGGAGTACAATCTAGCGCAGGCTGTCACCAGCAAACCAGCAGTAGACAACTGAATCAGTAGTGATGGTTTCTGGAGCTCTCAGCCCACAGATGGTAAAGGTGGGGGAGGGTTGGAACACTAGTCAGGAGATTACATGGGACCCTTTGCTGACACTGGGTACAGGACTCTGTTGCATTGCCTGTATGTGAGTTCCAGGTTTTGCGTCCCAGGGTGAGAAGGAGGCAGTAGGGGAGTAGAACCCAGATTACAGTTCCTGGGCAGAAAAGAGTGCTTGTGGTCCCACAGATCAGAGCACAGACCAGGAGAGCAATTACCTCACCTCTACTTAGATCATACCACTTTGGAATAACTGAAAAGTGAAAACTTATAGGCTTCTCTACCTCCCCCTGCCCCACAAGTCTGAAAACAGCAGCAAGAAAACCTGAAGCTGAGGATATTGCCACCTTGGAAGCAAAGCACAGCTTTAACGTAAAAGTGAAGAAATAGGCTGGAAAAATGTGCAAACAGCAAAAAAAGAACCTGACCTGTGTTTATAAGGAAGATCAAAACTCAAATTCAGAAGAAGACAACAAAGTCAAAACAGTAACATTCAAAGCCTTAAAGAAAAATGTGAATTGGTCTCAAGCCTAAAGAGAATTCCTGGAAGAGCTCATAAAGGATTTTAAAAATCAAATATAAGAGGTAGAGGAAAAGAATTGGGAAAAGAAATGAGAGTGATGTAACAAAAGTCATGAAAAAAGAGTCAATAGTTTGGTAAAGGAGGCACAAAAAAATACTGAAGAAAACAACACCTTAAAAAACAACATAAAAAGAGGCAAGATAAAGCTTTTACAGTAGAGGGGAAGAGGGGGGAGGTGAGAGGGAATGAATGAGCCTTATTCTCATCAGATTTTGTTTAAGGAAGGAATAACATACACACTTAATTGGGTATGGAAATCTATCTTACCCTACAGGAAAGTAGGGGGGAAGGGGATAAGAGATGGGGGAGGTAATAGACGAAGGGGTAATAGAAGGGAGGACAGATTGGGGGAGGAGATAATCAGAAGCAAACGCTTTTGAGGAGGGACAGGGTCAAAGGAGAGAATAAATGGGGGTGGGATAGAATGGAGGGAAATATATTTAGTCTTTCACAACTTGACTATTACAGAGGTGTTTTGCATGAGTACACATGTATAACCTATATTGAATTGTTTGCCCTCTTAGTGAGGATGGATGGGAAGAGAAGAAGGGAGAGAATTTGGAACTCAAAGTTTTAAAAACAAATGTTGGAATTTTTTTTTGGTGAGGCAGTTGCGGTTAAGTGACATGCCTAGCGTCACACAGCTAGTAAGTGTTATGTGTCTGAGGTCACATTTGAACTCAGGTCCTCCTAACTTGAGCCAGTGCTCTATCCACGGCGCCACCTAGCTGCCCCTAGAAATTATTTTATATGCAACTGGGAAATAAGGTATACAGGCAATGGGGTATAGAAATCTATCTTATCCTATAGGAAAATAGAAGGGGAAGGGGATAAGAGAAGTGGGGGAGGTGATAGAAGGGAGGGCACATTGGGGGAAGGGGTAATCAGAATATACGCCATCATGAGGTGAGGGGAGGGGAGAGGTAGGGAGAAAATTTGGAACTCAAAATCTTGTGGAAGTGAATGTTGAAAGCTAAAAATAAATGAATAAATTGAGTGGTGGTGGTGGGGAGAAAACCAAAGCAAAAAACCAAAACAAAACATCATAGGCCAGGTGGTAAAAGAGGCACAGAAATCCACTTAAGAAAGAACATCTTAAAAAGCAGAATTGGCCAGGTGGAAGAAGACAGACAGAAATTCACTGAAGAACTCCTTAACCAGATGGAAAAAAATGTACAACAACTCACTGAAGAAGAG